CTGCAAGCGCCGAGGGGGCCCGGGAGGCGGGCAGGACGGTGTCCCCAGGACGGCTCCCCCAACCCGCCCGGGGCCGCCGGCCGCCCCCGCGGAGGTTGCGCCCGGCCCGCACAAGGCAGTGAGGAGGAAGAGGGCGGAGGGGCTTCCAGGGGGCTCCGCGGGCGCGGAACTGCGCGCTCCGCTCGTGCTCCACCTGCACGTCCCTTCGCTGTGTCTAGCGCACGAGCGGCGCATCCTCCCTCTCCCACCCCACCAGCGGCGCTGAGAGCAGGAAAAAGGCGTGCGAGGTCTAGCCAGAGTTTTAGCCAATATTTACTGCCAGATCCACGACTGTTTTGCCTTTTTTTTGTCATCTGGTAACCATTTGAAATATTAAATGCAGCGGTATTTTTTTTTGTCCAGTTTCAACAAGTTCTCTCGAATGCTTCGGAGCTGAACACTCATAACTCCTCCAGCCTCTCATCCTACCCAATAAAGTACAGCTCCTGCAAATCTCTCGCTAATGGGGCAGTGTCTGCCGCTCCAGTTTGATAAACATCTGAGCATGAATGGAAGTTGAATACTAAAAATAAATTTCTAAGGGTTTCCTCTAGTTCTTTTTATTTCGGCAGTAATTTTCATCACAGCGGTGAAAATATCGAAGACATCAAATTATTTTTGATAGAGTATGCCTGTGACTCCCTGATGAAGTTTCATAATTAATACCATCAATTATTTGTGTTAGTATAATTCTTTATTTCCCAGCCCTCATGTCCCAATAATAACAACAGCAATAGTAATAATAATCTCATTAGAAGAAACTCATGTCAGATTCCTGTCCTGCTTTCAGCATTGCGAAATATCCGAGAACTTCAAAGACATCTGCAAAAATTCGGGATGGGACGTTATGCCAGAACTCAGACGTACATTCAGGGTTATTGCTGCCGCTCAGAGATGTGCAAACGTCTGCCAGCAGCAGAGGAAGGGCTCTGTCTTGCAGAGTTCATAGAGCAAGCTGAAAATTATAGACAGGGAGAAGTGCCGGGGTGGTACTATACTAAGCCTTGCTGAGACAACAACTTGCGTTGGAGGCTCGCAGAGAATCCAAAATTTAGTTTCAGAAGGGAAGGGTCTGTAAACAATATAGTCCAGTTGGTAAAAACCCGCCATACAATAGCCTGCCAGAAGGTGAATGTCAGATCAAAGGAGAACTGAAAAGATGTCCTTTCATATTTTTTTTTTCCCTAAATCAGCCATGGAAACTTCACGGCTCCATAAAACATGTGCTGCTTTACTGGGGAGACAGCCTCCAGTTTCCTCCCGGAGAAAGCTCGTCTTCCCCCACGCTCAGTTTTTAACCCTTAGATTTTTTTTTCTTTCTTTTTGATTCCATAATGTTCGAATCACCTCGCATCGTACTCATTTCATATCTCATAAAAAATGGTTTTGCTCTTAACTTTCTACCCCTCTTTCCAAATAGGCACGAAGTCAGGAAATGAGGCACAAGACTCCCCTTGTAATGAGGAAAAGAAAACGACTTCACAGAAACGTCCTGGAGAAGTCAAGTAAGTTAAAATATGTCTTTATTTTTCAGTTCAAAGGAGACAATTTTTTCAGTTTAGTGTTTAACGTACTTGCATAAACACAAATCAGCGACACAACGTCCCACCAGCAGCTGCTTAATCCTGCTCAATGCCTATTCATTTGGAGGTTCTAGAATTAATATTTGACGACTCTCTCATTGAAACAACAACCCCTGACCCCATGTGATTGCACTGTCACATTATTCTATGACATATTCATCTTGAATTCATTTACGGACGATTTGATTGGAATGAGGTTTGACATGTATTGGATCCTATTAAAGAAGAAGACTTTGATCTTGTTGATGGGGTTTACATGATATGTATCATCTTTACCAGGGATACCAGCCTTCCACAATGTGGTGTCTAAGTAGTTAGTGACTGACAGCTTATCTGACAGGAATACCTTAATCTTGAGGTACTGAATGAAATATTCTATTTAAAACAAGCATATGATTTCCTTGTCCTAGGGTATCTCTAGGTCATGAAAAGTGAGCAACAAACCTAATCGCAAGCCTTTGCTCGTCTGGTAGCCGAATCCCCATTAATGGGAAAACTTGAAATAAGGAAGTCCTCCTAATGGCAAAGGGAGAGCAAACAGAAACAAAGGGCGAGCATGTTCTCGAGCCATTCAGTGTCCTCTTCTCTTCCCTCCGAGGAGATGTTGAGGTTACTGAAAGGGTTTCTTGAAGCACCTCTTGCTACACAGCAGTGCCTTCTGCAGGGACACCTGAGCCTCGGGTCCTGCCTGTGTCAGCCGTGGTCTCGCTGGCTGCTGATTCCTGCCTGCCAAGTGCGGTGGTTAGGAGAGATGCACAGGAGAAGTCCTCATTCCTCCCCATTTCTGCTCATCACTTTTCTTTTTTCCCAGGAAATGTTAGCATTTTCATATTAATCCCTTCCCCTCCTCTCGCCCGGGAATTGCAGGATAAAGGTTAGCACTTCGAGCCTCTTTTTTACGGCGATTTAAGGCACTCCCTCCCAGCCCAGGGCACCTTGTAAGAACTTCCTAGCTGCCTCATCAGGGAAGGGAATTCTCCGGAGAAGCCGACCTGGGAGCAGATTTTGCTCTCCCAGAGACTCCAGGGGTGTGTGGGGGGGAAAGGGGGCAGAAACTGTTCCTTACGCAAAGTAGGACTAGAAGGATGAGGAGTATTTGGCCCCAAGTCGAAGCACAAGACGAGCACCCCTGGTTTCCTGGGGAAAGCTGCTCTGCATATCAACTTCACAGCAGCCCCGGCCTCTGGCAAAGGTAGAAAGATGGCGGGTAGATTTATACCAAAACAAGGCAAAATACAATGCATAAAGCTATTCCCTGCAGAGACAAACCGGGACTGTGCCCATCCCAGTTGACCCTGGTCAAGACCCTAAGTGAGAGGCCCGCGGCGCAACCCCGATGTGCGGGGCCGCTCCCCGGCATCGCTCCAGGTTGACTTTGCTCTTCCTTCTGCCGAGAGCGCAGCGCTCTCGGGTTCTGCTCTACGGCAGGGCCTGACCTACTGCCCGTCTGCCTTTATTTGAGCCCTGAAAGGAGGGCCAGCAAGGTAGGGTGGCCGTGTCACGGCTTTGTGTGAGGGAAGAAGCTAGGATCCCTTCCCACAACATATCACTTCCCTAGGGTAGGCTGCTGGGTACGCGGGGGCTGCAGACAGGATTGCAGAAACACAAAAGCTACTCAGATTTACATACTACCAAGCAGCCCACCTCTTAATACTGATTCTCCCTGGAGCTGGCACCCAAGAGTCCATGGTGCCTCTCTACCTCTCTTTCCTTAAAACAAGATAGCACTATCTCAGTAAAGGTTCTGCCCTGGCATCTGGACTTCAGTTCAGCGCGTGCAATCCTGCCCTTTCTAGCTTACGCAGGCCTTGAGTTTCGAGGGCAGTCTAGAGGGGTATTCCTTACCCTAGCCAGCTAGAAAGGGGGAAAAAAAAGGAGCCCGGGGGGTGGGGGGAGGCAGAAGTACGTCCTGATGTTGACACACTTGAGAAATTCTCCCAAAGCCCTCAAAGCCCGTGCGTCTGGTCCAATACGGCTCATATTCCTGCCAAGATGCACGACCCTCGGCCACCCCTCGAGGGACAGGCTCAAACTGCCAACGGGCCGCACAAGCGGGCATTCAAGCTTTCAGAGCACTCTGCGAGATACGAGGAACTTGGCCGATTTTGGCCCCGTTCTCCTCTCTCTCTCTCTCTCTCCATCTCCTCCCCGCCCCGCGCCGAGTCCTGTGCGCGGCCCTGGCCCCCTCCGGCCCGCTCCCCGCGCGGGGCTTCCCCAGGCGCCCTCGGCCCCGAGCGCCGGCTCCTCGCGCAGAGCCGGGAAAAGGGAGTCAGGGAGAGCCCTAAGTGAGGAGCGAACTGAGAGCCATTAGTGTCTGACGAGAAACCATCACAATATTTTAAATTAGCTCAGGGCAAAGCCATTATGACATTTTCCTTTTTTAATTGATAAACTGTTCCAGATGCTTTCTCCCTTGACTGAGCAGTGTCAGAACTGATGGATAACAAGTATGCAGAGATGAAGTGTTTTAAGGAGGTATGAGGAAAACAGCTTTATTTGGAATTCACACTCTGGGTATATTTGTAAGTAACAGATTCATACTCGCTAATGTTTGTCTCTTCTGTGCTCTCCTATTGAGATGGTCATGAATAGGACTGTCAAATCCATTTCGTAGAGCAAGCAGACTTGAAAGTTAAGATATTGTAAAGATGGTGTGTGGTTTAAAATGCCTGCGTAAACATGTTATGTAAGGATGGAGAGCTAATTGCATCATTTGTCACTTTTCATCATCTCCACTCAGAAAGACATATACGAGAACGTATCTCTAGCTAGCTGCCTAAATACTACTTTTCTGATTCATAAAATATGGTGAAATGCAAACAGAGCCAAAATATATAACCGTAGCTAGCCCGGAGTATGCGAAGCTGGGATAAAATGTACCTATATGATTATATACATCTGACACTTTAATCGTACCTCTCGAGATCATTGGCTAGTGGTCTCTGTTATAAGAACAATTGGTTTGGAAAGGCCAGATATTTTTTGTTTTACTACTTAACATAAAACTGACTGATCACCGATAATGTTAAACTTTTGTGGAAATGCAAAATTCAGCGTCGAGGGCTTAACATGGCCCTGGAAATGGCGAGCGAGCTGGCTGAGCTCCAGAGTGAGCATCTACTGGCAAGCTGACAGTAAGTCAATGCATTAAAATGCAGGATATCCGACACGATGATAGGAGAATTAACAGTTGCTTTATTTTATAAGACGGCGTGGTTATTGGTGGATTTATTTTTTCCCAGGATCCGAGTTCTGTGGTAATCCTGTATGTATATATTATATATATATATATATAAAGTTTTGCCCTCTAAGTAGATGCTTCCTTCTGTGCTGAAGCCCTGAGCTTTTCAAAACCTTTAAGGCCTCAGTGCATAATGTCTGAAGCCTTAACGTGAACTTCCACCTCGCAGACGAGGTTCTTTCCTTCAGGGGAGCAGCAGCAGCGTATGTGTAACGTATGGATGCATCCCAATGCTTTTTCTTCAGCCAGGACAGGGATTTTACGTGGAACTATCCTGTGGGGGAGAGAGAGGGAGAGAGAGAGAGACGCAAAGAGACTCCCTCTTCTGGGTTAAACTCTCCGATTGACGCTAAACATAATGATCATCCGTGTTACTCCAGCAGCCAATAACTGCTGCAGTAATCAGATAAGTGTTAAAACTTATCAAGGGATGGCAGTGGGAGCCTTCCAGGGTCCTTTCTGGGGCTCCCTGCAAAGCTGCCCCGCTCCAAGGGCAGGGCCGAGGGCGTCGGGCCGGTAGCTGCTCTGCAGAGGGTCTCAGCTGCCCCTTTCGCCTGGGAAAAAGAAAAAAAAAAGCCCCGAAATTTGCGCTATCAACAAGTGTCAGTGACCTGCGCTCGCCCCCGCTATCCGTCACGGGGCCGCGCGGGGCCGCGGCCCGTGCGCGGCAGGCGGCTGTGCCCGAACAAAGAGCCCCGGGGCCGCGCGGGCGGCGGGAGCGCGGACGG